TGGGTAATAGCCACCACTGTTAATGCCAAGGAGACTCAGCTGCCTGTTCACCTTCCAGGCTGCTGAGACTCTGAGCAGTTCATTGCATGGATTTGCCTGGGGCACATCCTCATTTTTGTCTCACTGATGGTCATTTTGGCTTTAAGAGATTCTGTTCTGAATCATCATTTTGGCCTTTAAGTCGCTGCTTACATAGATCATTTTGTCTCACTGTGAGCTTGCTCAGCATTGCTCGGTCTTGGGTATGAGCAAGAAAGTGTCTTTGTCATTGACATGAACCATAACTGAGGAACAAGCAGTGCTTGAGCTCTCGAGCAATGCCTATAGCAGAGGGGATGGGTCTGTCCAACCAGCCCACTTATTTGGGACTGTGCTGTGGGGCTGAGCATCGCTTCTGGCAGTTTTCACCCATTGCAGCTGCCTTGCAATATTCACTTTGCAAATGTTTTTGAAAGAAGCTGAAAATAGTTTAATCTTGCCTTTTATATTCAGACTGGGTCTTTTCCCCCCTTAGAATTAAAATACTGTGCTGATATAGTATTATTGAACAAACACAATTAAAAGTAATTTTCAGTTTACCTGTGATGTCTTTTTATTTTGAACCTAGTGAGAGGCTCTTGGTTGTATGGTTTTATAATAGGTGGTGGGATAAAAGACACACAGGTCTATACACACGCAAAGGAGCACAGAGGCACAAGTGCAGGCAGGGAAAACCCCAAAACCCAGGTGGAAAAACAGAGCCCCTACCCAAGCTCCTCCAAGGGCTGTCACAGAGGAGCCATCGGCCCATGGGCCAGAGAGGACACCCATCCCACCCACCTTGCAGACTGAGGGGTGTTACTGCTTGCAGGGCTCTGGAACTTGTTACAAGAAGAGCATTTGGGGATTGTATAAGATCTCTTATGAGATATTTAGGGGAGAAATTAAAAGTGGGGAAAGGGATGATGCAGGGTGGTTTGGGAGGAACAAATTTGGGAAAGTAGAGGAATAAGAGGTAAAAGGGGCTGGTCCCATGTAAATGGGGCTAGTCTGTACACTTGCCTGGCTGTACCTTGTTCCTGATCATCCCTGTCCGCCCCATCTTCTCATTAAACCCCATTTCTAACTATTTTCCTGGATAGTGGGACTCTGTGGGTGTGTGTATGGAAGTCCAAGTGACAGCAACTAGAGAGACCAGTCTCCATGTCTATTTTATGAGTGCAGATGTCAGTGTGTGATCACTAGTGACTATCTAGTGGAACTAGCAGGCAAGTAGGGTAAGAGGCTTGGGAGCCAGGTATCAAAGTAGCCATAAGTCTTGGTCAGATACCAGAGAGGTCATGTGGTCACAATTTGGCTACTGTAGGGACTGCAAGGTCGGAGGTGGTGGCTGAGAAGACTCTGGGGACAACTGAGACCAGTTTGTATGTTTGTCTGTCTCTGCACGAGGCAGCTGGAGAAGGTAGCATCTGAAGACCAGCTACTAGGTGGCTCTGCGTGTCTAGGGCCAGTTACTGGAGGGATCAACAGTGTGTGTGCATACTGGGTCTGTACCAGCCACTGGAGAGGGGCTGTGGCCCCAGAGGCTCTCACAGTCCAGGTGGCAGCACCTGGGAAGACCAAGGACCCAGGGCCAGCTGCAGCATAGACTGTCTCTGGCCAGTTGCTGGAAGGCTGCATAGCCTGTATATATGTATATAATTCCACTGACAGACCTTTATCCTAATCCACCAGAGAGGGGAGCACGATGAGGCCATTTTGGTTGCTTGAGTGCTGTATTTTCTGTCCCCGTTGACAGACGTCTGTCCGTCTGTGCCTGTGCATCGTGCACGTGTATTTGTGTGCGTGCGCATTGGGAGTATGTGCTCAGACTGTCTGGGGCAGGGAGATGCGGCAGCCGCGCCTCTGCTGGGCTACAAGATGCTTCAGCTTCTAAGGTAGAATAAAAATTCTGATGGAACAGCTGGTGTAGTGAAAGAAAATGTCCTAATTTTTCCTTGGAAATGTTTTTTAAAAGAAGGCATCTTTCTCTGATGCTGTTGTTTTGGTCATGAGCCTGGTAAGTTCTTCCTCTGCCACCTCTGAGTGCAATGCCCAAAGCAACCAGCTGTGCATTGTGATCACTTGAAGTGATGTCGTGTATCAACAAAGCCTGAAATATAACTAATTTTGATTGCAGCACAGGAAGTTTAAAAAGAAAAAAATAGTGCTTTTGAGGTATTTTGTCATCCCAAAATGGAGACCGTCACATGGATTAATCATCATCTACATGTTATAAAGTTTATAGCTGCTTAACAATAATTACAAATTAACTTTATATTCACTCCTGAGCACTGTAGTAAGCTTTCCTTTTCTGGCGTGCTTTTATAAAGCATACGACAGAATATTTGTTAATGGGTATGAAGGATATCTGGTTTTACTGCTGCAGGGAGGAAGTCATGAGACTGTAAAGCTACTGAAACTGGTGTCTCTGTCCTGAAGAGATGGGCTACCTGCCTGACATTTTAACCTTAATGGCAGTTTCTTAGCTTAATTAGATTTCAGATGCAAAACAGGGACATTATTTGGTTTCCTCTGCCCTTCATTACTTTCCCAATGGGATGTGGATACATGCAGGATAAGGAAGATCTCTCAGGTGTCACTAAAAGCATGGCATAAAGTGGTTTGTCCACTAACAGCTTCTCTGAACTATGAACAAATACACTTGCTTACTTTGTTTTTGACCCACTAGAGAAGTAGAATGATGTGACTTGCCTTAGGGCAATTTCTTCTTAAAACGTGCAGAAGCAAGTTTTTAATGCAGATCTTTAAATTCGGATAGAAAAAAAATCTTTAAAATCAGTGACTGCCCTGTGTCTTCACTTAGGATCACTTTCTTTTGCTGGTTGACTGGCACCTTGCTTTTGATCTGAAACATGTGCTGTTAGATACCTCCAGACTGCAGAGAGAATGAGCTTAACTTCAGAGGGAAATGGAGATGGTAAAGATGCTCTAGCAAAGGATGCAGGTTCAAAGCTGTCTGATTAAACCCAGCCTAAGGGAATTTTGTTCCTGCTCACAAATGGTCTACCTTCATCTGCTGTGGTAACTTATCCTTTTTTTAGCAGATTTGCTTGTAGCTGGTTTGGCAGTGATGCATTGACCCTATCCATATTAAAAGATGCCATTGATAAATCAGCAGAGACTCTGCAGAACCTTTTGTTCAAGTGTGCAGTGTGGATCCTGCAGCTTGACTGGATGTAACACTATCAGGGCATACTTCTTTCAGCAGCTGTAGAAAACTGATTGAAGCTGGTCCTTTCCACATGCTTGCCTTGCCAGGGAATTAAAGCTTCAGGCTGCCATTTGTGTGGAGTTTTTAAATATGTATGAACCAAACAAGGGGCCTGTTGAGAAAGGCTCTAATCCTCTTGCGTATGAAACCTGGTATTCTGCTCTTCTCTCTTTCTGATGTTTCTGTGCTTTCAGATATGCTAAATCTATCTTTGAAGTTTCATTTCTTCTTGTGTAAAGTACACTTTAATAGGTGAACCTTGCAGCTGAGAATTAGGAGATACTGGTTCAAGCTGGACACACTGAGCAGGTCACGTAATCATCCTTTGCCTTGGTTTCCCCATTTGCAATGCAGAAAGAGTAATGTCCACCCTCCTGTATGCAGCTCTTTGAGCTTTGTTCTGGTAACTAATTTAGAAGCTATAAGGTAGTGTAGACCTTCTACAGTCTGCCGTGAAGGCCTGCTGGAAGGTATCTGTCTGGGGATGTTGGGTGAGGAGTAGAGGCTTCCCTGTTTCTGGTCAAGAATTCATGGGCAGACATATATCTGCATGCTGAGGAGATCAGACCAGCTGTGTGGGTGCAAGGAGTCCTTCCCAGTCCTGCCAGTCCCACTTGCACAGTCAGAAAAATCTGTCTTAAGCGAGTCTGATGATTTTGCCTGTGGTCTGTATGCCAGTGATCCTTATGTGTAAAGCCTTGATTTTGCATGTAATGGCAGACTGTCTGTTCAGCTGCAAAGACACAAAGACTGCAAGATGGATGAGAAACTCATGTAGCCAAAAACTCTTTTCATAGAAGACTTTTTTCATAGAAGGATCTCAGGAAGGCTGAACTGTTTTGGTCTCTCTCTTGAGATTAAGCATGTAGGTTTTATGTGCCACTAGGACCAGGGGAGCTATGGAGGATCAGGAGGAAGACAGATTGTAAGAGATGGGTATCTTAGAGGCATATATTGCAGCCCTTCTCCTGGCTGGGTTAGGAACTAGGGGATGTCTGTTCTGTAGGATGATTGTAATTCCTTCTGATGGCAGAAATATTTGGAGCAGGGTGAGGGAAAATCCAAGCTATTCTCAAAATGAAAATGCTTGGTGCTAAGGTGCACCAGGCTGGCCATCCTTTCCCTTTGTAAGGGCTGGGTTTCTAAGACACGTTCAATTTTGGCATCTCTTGGAAGGAGATCTGAAAGGTTTTACCTGTGCAGAATACAGTGATTCTCTGCTTAGATAGGCTGTGATCCTGTAGCTAGACAAAAGCTGGAGTATCGAGTTTTGCTCTGATAGACCTCCTAGGAGCCATATATAGCTCTTTAAAAACCCAAGGAACCTGCCACAAAACTGTCCGAGAGAGGTCGTTATAAGAAAGCAGTTATAAAATACTCTGAAAGGCTGAGTAGAGTTTTTTCCCCCTTTTGTGATATTTGCAGTTGAACTTTAGATACATCATTGTTAACGTGGCCTTTTAAAGTAACTTTCTATTCTGTCCCTGTCATTTTTAGAGCTATAAAGGAAAGCCAGAATGCCAGGGAAGGCAAGCAAATGAAAAGGAGGAAGGGGGGCTAGAGAGTAGGTTTTGATCATCTTTGCAAAAAGTGACATCATCTATGAGAACAAAAGTCTTCAATCGCTGCAACTGGAGACAGCTTTTAGTCTCCAATTCTATTTTGCTCCAAGCCAGCCAGCCAAATAAAAACAGTGGGATAAATCACTGCTGGCAGAACTTAACAGTTATGCAACATCCAGTGCACCATGCGCTTATTTTTAGATCAGTATTACACTAGCAAAATTTACTTTATGAAATCTAAAAGAGTGTCTGGTCAGAGGCTGGAGGATAAAGAAGGTATTTGGAAAGTGCAAAATGTAAAAACACTGAGTACAAAGATGTGCTAGCAAACCCCATTTCGGCAGTACTGATATGCTTTCAAGATGATTGGCTCAGTCAGGGGTGGTTATGAAGAGTAGAGGGCTTTTTCATCAGTATCCCCTTGAATTTCTCATCTGCATAGCTTTTTGAATGGTTAACTCTACTCACCTTACCCAAATAGCTAACTATATGTGGTTTACTTAAAGCTGGGCTTTTCTACCATTTAGTTTGTCTTTACCAGATCTGGAATGCAGTAAGCATCAGCTCACCTGCTTACAGTACTAGCTGGTCAGATGTAAAGAATTTGTCTTAACTGGAGTGCTCTACAAAGCTAGCTGAGCTACAGAGATACTCCTCATCCTTTGTGAGATACCTTGGATTTAAAGAGCTCCTGATATTTAGTTGGTATATGTTTCACTTATGTTTTCTCAGTCTTCAGTGAATTAGGATTGTGTGTGCTGCTTGTTCCAGATCAAACTGAATCTTTCTCAGTGTTCACAGTTGTATTTCATTAGTTAAAAGCAGTTTCAGCTTGCAGCACAGGTATGAATAACTGAAATTAGTCTCACATACTGTGCTCTTAATCCAGGAACAGATGTACATCTTCTCTCTTTTCAATTTGACTTTATCCTCTTACTCACTGTTGTAATTCTGCTTTAGTTGGTTCTGTGTATAATTTTGTTCCCAAAGTTTTTTTGCTCAGATTCTGAACAGGTAATGATTGGGAAAAGTTTGACCTTTCAGCTTCCCTGTCAGCCTTTAGAGATTCTAGCTGATAAAACATACTCTGCATAGCTAACGTTATCTTTGGGATTTCCGCCAAAATTTGTACAGTTTTCAGTCACACCTTGAAGTGAATTAATGTGCTGACCATTGCATGATCTGTATTGATCTTTTTCCTCAAAAACCTTTCTTCTAGGGGACAATCTTGATGCTATCCATGACATAACTGTGGCATACCCCCAAAACATTCCTCAGACGGAGAAGCACCTTTTGAATGGAAACTTCCCAAAAGAGATTCACTTCCACGTCCAGAGGTATCCCATAGAGACAGTGCCCACTTCCAAGGAGGAGCTGCAGCTCTGGTGCCGGAAGCGTTGGGAAGAGAAAGAGGAGAGACTCCGACACTTCTATGAAGGTGGAAAGTGCTTCAGTGTGGCAGGGCAGAGCGTTGTTCCACCCTGCAAATCTGAGCTCAGGGTCCTCGTCGTTAAGTGTGTCTCACTCCTGTATTGGACAGTGTTCCCACTGGGTATGCTTGCACTGCTGTACCTGTACAGCTTTGCACGATGGTATTTTGCAACCATGATCATCTTTTTTGTTGTGCAGCAAAAGATATTTGGCGGGCTGGAACTAATTGAACTCGCTTGTCATCGATATTTTAAAAAGCAACAGAAATTTGACTTCATGAAAATAAAGACCAATTAGTTCTGGGGTGGAAAAAGACAAAAACGGGTGGGTTTGAAACGTCCTCCGAATTTTATGCACAGGGAAGAATTTATGCATGAGAATTGTCTTTTACTATTGCCATTGTTAGACATTTGCACTTGATTCTGTGAAGAGAAAGAGAAATGTTAGTTATTGCTACATGTGAAAATGGTAGTTTTTATCTCTGAATGTAATTTCAACATTGCTCTTGCAAGCAGCTAAAAACTGTATTCTGCTGTAATTAAGAAACAAATTGCTGGATTATTGAACAATCGTAAGGACGTTAATAAATGTGACGTGCACTGAACTTTCATGTAGAAACCCGAACTGTCCAGCTAAGAGAGACTAATGTATGATTTCTGTATAATCACATTGTTGTAAATTAAGCACCGGGTTTGGAAAGCTGGTAAGTTTAATGATGTTTTGATGGTAGGTGGAAGTTGAAGGAGTTGTTCTGTTTCTTTTTTCTATTTCCAATATTCAGACTTATTTTAAAATCGTATTTTTGCATAACCTTTTCCAAACAATACTGAACCTACACTATTCAACTATTCGGGCTTGGTAGCTCAGAAGGATTTTTTAGCCTTGCAGTCTTGTGTTGTAGTACAGAAAACAGTGCTAGCTCTGCCTCCATTCAAGTCTTAGTTGATTATTTAGCAGACCTGTGTAGCTAAGTTTTGATTTCTTACTGTTTCATACTGTTTTGATCTCTCTGTTAGCTGTGGGAGACTCGTTCCTACTGTAGTATACAGAGCTGCTTTTTTGTTGGTTTATTGGTGTTTTTTTCTGCTAGCGGCAAAAATAACTGTCTGTGTTTGAGTAGCTGGCAAATAGATTTCAAAAAGGTCTCCTTATTTGATTGAAAACCGTTTCTTTCTTTTTTAGAGTAGGCAAGATAACTTATTTTTTGAAGCATTTATTTTTGTTTTCCCATTGCTTCCTCAGGCATTTCAAGTGTGCATAAAGATAAGCAGGAAGACTGTGTGTTCTGTGCCTGTCAGCCAGACCTGTTGAAATGCATCTGATGCAATGGTGGTCTCCTTACAGGTATAAGAGATGGATTTCTGAATTAGCACAGGGAAATTGAGTTACATCTTCCCTTTGCAAGTATTCTTTTTGATTGCCTGATGACATCATTCCTTTTCCAACCTCCTTTGCAATTCTTGGAGCTCCCACTATATAACATTTTCCCTTATTTTCATGACATTCAGAAAATCTGAAAGCTTAAACTCTGACAAGGCACTTTAAGGTGTATTCCTTGTCATATATAATACAAGTAACGTTCATGCTTACATAGTAAAAGACAGACGTTGCCAGCACTTAGGAGACACTTAGGATTAGATTTGTTTTTCAGTTTCAAAGATGTTACACCACTTGATCAACTGTATTGCAGCAGAACCTTCCTTAATTACTAAGTATTTGTTGTTTATTGCATGAAGGCTTGTTTGAGCTCAACTAAGATGGCCTGGCTCCTTATGTTGAGTGGCATTGCCATGAAGTGCAAAATGTAGTGGCGTGCCAGAGTGCAAAATATATCTTGTACTGTGCTGAAGACCTCGGGCATTGGGTCGGCATGGTAGACGCATCTGTTTTCTTCTAAATTACAACACTAAACATGTTGTCTAATGTGTTTGTATCAAAGGCCATTTTTGGAAAGAATCACCAGCCTCTATTCTACTGTCCCTTGCAAGGAGACAAGTATTTTTTAATCTGTGCTTATAATAACTAATTGTTTATTGTGCAGAAAGTACTTGAAGCCATCTATTTTACTCTAATTTTTTAATCCCTTTTTTCTTAAAAATAAATAAAATCAGGTTTATATTTAGGGTTATGTTTCTTAATGATTTTTTTCATATTTATATTTGAGTACCTGAAGACTGAGAACTGGTGTTTCATTGTCACAAGTAGAAGGAGGTTCTTTCTGCACTATGAGGACTTTTTTTAAACATAATTCTGTGATATCAAAGGCATGGTTGCAGCTTAAATTTACATAGCCTGGTTTTTCTTCACCTAATACTCTGCTTTGGTGCAGTTCCCTGCACATGCAGGTAACTAGCTGCAAGGGAAAACCTAAAAACCTCATTTATGGTTAATGTAGAGGAGAACTAAAGGGTTCTTCTAGTCTGTCCTGAGCCAGGGCTGTGCTTTCACACCAGGAGTAACCATGGCCAGCCTACTCCAATAGCCTTAACATTACCTTCAGGAATTAATTCGGAGGACAGGTTATATATGTTGGTGACATAAATACCAGCTACGCTTTCCTCAGTCATTCAGAGAACTTTGTAGTGTCATCAAATGTATCGGAAACATCAGTGTGAGTCTTGGTCATGGAGTGGTGAAAGATTTCTAATATCTTTTATGTCTGTGTGTGATCAGAGTGGGGCTCTGAAAATGAAATGCAGTCCATCGTTGACCCTTACAAGGGGTTTTCTCTCAGCTGGAGCCAAGCACATAACCTAATACAATGTGGTAAACATCCTGTGAATGTAATTCATCCTCCTCTCTCATGTGTTGGGATTGAAGGGAAAGAATAATCTTCTTGTCAGCTGCAGATGTCATGTTTGCAGTGCCTGACTCCATGATGCGGGGCGGGACATGGTAAGTGAAGAATCCTCCTCTCACAAGAAAGGGCGTTGGCTTTGTGATTGATGTAAATTTTCAGATTATGTGCATCATTTTCCAGCTCAGTTAGAAATGCAAGACAGGAAAAAAAACAGAATGAAAAGAAAAAGCTTTGTGGATATAGAAGCTTCTTTGTTTAAAAAGTGGTTAAAGAACTGGGGGAAGATCTTTCTATGACTGCTTTTTTTCTGTCTTTGGTCAAAATGTAGCTTTTTACTCAAAAGGTTCTAATCTACAGATTTTTTGGAGACTGTTTTGTTCTTACTCACCCTTTTTCCCTATTTGAAGTACATTAAGACATGCCAGGTAAATAACTTTGAAATCTTTTCAATCATTAAGGTTAAAGGTGCTGGTACTCCAGGAATCCCTCTTTCATGGGCCACATATTGGCACCAAGACTTGTCTCACTCATTAGCTCGTTTGTCATGGCTCACCATCTCTCACAGTCCTGGCAGCCGCACTGCTCAGTGGCGACTGCTCCGTCTGAGGAACCTACAGGTCTTGCTAGGTCTTGCTTACGTTATCTGAGGTCAGTGATGTGCTTTAAGGATGCTGCTCTCATTTGCTCAATCAAATGTTTTCTCATCAGCACTGGGGGTTTCTTTCTCTTTGCTTGGAACAGGAGGTTGCAATCCTGCCATCTGTGTTCGTCATCAAGTTCTCTGGGTAGCAGGATGTCAGACCAAGACTTGTCTCTCTTGGTTGCAAAGCTGCAAGGCCCAAAGCTGGTCTTTAAGGTGTTGTCTTGATAATACAAAATGTAGTTCCTGTTTTGTGCATTGCATCAATCTCTGTTGTTTAAAAAAGATCCGTGTTTTTATAACTTGATTTTATATGTGAAAGGAAACACCAGAAAACCTTAGTTTTCAGAGTTCACTGATTATATTAGAATGTTTTAATCATGTACCAGTTACTCTACAGCAACAATAAAAACCTGAAGCATTGCATGTGTTTAATTTTGCCATTTTCTTTTTACTGCATGACATACTCTGTACGCACCTGTAAGGAAGAAACCTTGTCTTCAGTTGTAAGGCTGTCTGTCTGGGGCGGACCAATGTCCGGTCAGGTGCTCGATCTGTGGTTTGTGGCTGTTGGGGTGGTGTGTCTCCCTTCTCGCCAAGGGCATTGGCTGAACTCTCCCTTCTAGCCTCTTCATATAAAAGGACATGGAAATCTTTGAGCGTGCAAGAGGTACAGCTCAATTCTAGCCTTGCTCTGCTGTAAATA